GAATTCAACAGCGAGAGATTATTTCCCCACATCACTGTGCTGACTGGCTTTCCAAGACTGTGCAAGATTTGTCAGTGGTTTTTTTTGTTGGGTTTTTTTAAGTATAAAAGCGAAGCTCATTGCTGCACAGAGGGTGAACGCAGGACCTGGGTCCCACAAATCCTGTCAGGCCTTTTGCTGGCTCTCTACACAAGCCTGAGCCATACCCAAGGCATCATGATGACGCCATCAGAGCAAAATATACAGAGCAGTTTGCAACTATTAAAAAGAACGTATTAAACCACTTTGGCGTTCTATAAAATTCTGCTTTTTCCTGATTGATAACTACACACTGACATTATCATGTAGCTAATGAGAGAAGCACATACTGTTAGGTTATTTACAAAACAGGTTAAATAAAAAAAAAGTTGAAGGCACTCTGTTTTAGTAAACTTCATACCCTCTCTTCAGAAAACTCCCACACACGCGGCACTTCCAAGGACAAACCAGCTCTTGGGCGCTTCTAAACACTGCAACTCCAGTTACCTAAAAGCGGGATTCAACAGATAAAAAGCCAGAAAAAAAAATCCCAGCATTTCGGTGCTCTATACGCTCCCTACAATGGGAAACCGCTGGGTTATTTCCTTTTGCTGGGAAGCGACGCGTGTGAAACGCGGGGGCTCCTGACTGCCTGCCCAGGCGATCCCTCCCGGCAGCCCGCTGTACCGCTTGTCTCTTCCAAGCCCCCGCGGGATGAGGAACACTCATTTACCACTTGTGTTTCTTCTTCTGTGCTAGATGCCGCACCAGGGTCACTCCGTAAGCACGGTACGGCGTTGCAGTGGTTAGAATGCTCTGATCATTAGTCATGCTTTCTAAAACCGTCCAAATATGTGCAAACTCCCAAGTTATACCGGCATATGATGGTACAGAGTAAGAATAATCAGCTGCGTGCCCTCACCCACATTCAGAAAAGGAGAGGTCAGCTCTTTACCTCTTTATTTCATCCAGATCTGGCTCTCAGCGATTTTTTACACCAACTCAACTCCAACAGAAACAAGCATATAAAAAAAAAAAAACCCAACACCCTACTCCATTAAAGTGACCTTTTTGCCTTGTGTTCTTTCCCTTCAAAACCTATTTTTAAAGTGGTGACACAGTTCTTAAAGCACGTACCACTCCCCATTTCCAGCATTTTCAGTCTCCTAGGACAAGAAACCACATGTCATTTCTACCAAACTGCTGTGTAGGTTGGCAGCAAAGCACAGAGCAGTGTCCTCTTATCACTGCCCAGTCACTGCAGTGTTTTACTACAAGTTCAGACTCTACCAAGCCAGGCAGTTGCTTTCCTAAGCAATCGTGTTGCAAAAAGGAAGGTTTGTTTTAGGCAAATTCAACAATCATGTATTTTCCATGGTATTAAATTTTGCCATTGTGGGGCAAACTAACAAACTCAAGAAAACATACATCAAAAAAAGCACAAATATGGAAAAATAAAGTTTCCACAAGTTAAAATGTTAGATTTACATTATCTTTAAGATTTTATTATTTATGGATAATATTTTCAACATCTACATGATAATATTTTATCATATCTACAGGATAATATTTTATATTTTATGTAGATATTTTATAATATCTACAGGATAATATTTTCAACATCTACTGACTCAATAGCATTAAGTCTTATGGTAGTAACCAACAAGTAACTCCTGCTAAATTTGTAAAAAGGTTTTCAGGAATCTATTTACAAGGGATCTTAACACATGACTCGCTAAGTGATACTTATACACCTCTTCACATGTCTGAACATCGTAAAAAATGTTTTGCTCCTTGTCACGCTCATGATATTCTGCACTATTATACCTTAAAAAAAAATTTTTTTTTAGTATTTTAATCTATTTCACATTTCTTACGTTGGATGTTGAAAGAATTATCAAAATTCACACCGCAAACACGGGTGTACCCCTCATGCAGTGTCACAAATGTCAAAAGAAAACCTGTTTATAAATGCCAGAGGAAACCTGTTGGTAAACTCAGCTCGAGGGACGCCGGGAGCCTGGGGAGGTCCCCCGCAGAGACATGGCTAAATCCAGCCATACCTCTGTCTCCAGTGGATCAGAGAGGGAAGCCCCCACTGGAAGTGCCTGTTCCTAATATTATTTCAGTAGGTAACAGACCAAAAATGGTTAGTCAAAGGCCACACCAGCCTTTCAGCTAACTAGGCATGAATCACTGCTCTGCAGACAGCACGTGCGTGGACTGGCATCACTACAGCAAGCTAGCCACAGCCCTTCAGGAATAGCTCTCACGCACGTGCTCTGGAATTAAAGTGGGTTTGACACGGAATAAGACTTGAATAGGTAAATCGAATCAGTGTAGTTAACTGCACGACGGTTAGTTCCCCTTCTTCTGACAAAATCCCAAAGGGTAGCTAACTAATTTCTGCAAAAGTCAGGTCCCCAGGTGGCTTTCAAGGTTAACCACAGATACAAACAACAGCAATACTTGAACCCAAAACGAATATAAAAATGAAAACAGTCTGCAAGTAACAAGAAAGATTAAATCTCTTGGTCTACCAGATTAAAAAAAAAAAAAAAGAAAAGGGCATATTTAACCCATAAACATTTGGGAGGAAGGATTTGTCAGCCTTGCAAGGACCAGCAGATAGTATGTTGAATAGTTAGTTTATGCCAACAGCACAAGGTAACAAAAGAGGCCCAGGATAGTAAAGAGGAGATAAGGACTATTTAGACAAGTTACTTAACAAGGCACAATACTTGATTTATGGCCTGAATGAAAGCCTGCTGAAAGTATTCCATTGGATTTCAGCAGGTTTTAAATCAAGTTGAGCCTTGGGGGGGGGAAAAATGCAGAGATAAAAATTTTTATTAACTGTTCCAGCTTTACTACAAAAAGTCAGCGAAATGAAAATTTTAAGTTCACCTCCAGCAAATGATCCTCCACAAGAAGAATGTACTGTCGCTGCACTTGGTGACAGACTGAACACTGCCACTGTCGCTGCCACCCAGAGCCGGTACGGAACTAGGAGCAAATGCCCTCTTCAAAAAGACGATGTCAAACCAAAGAAAACATTGAATATCGGGGGGGGGGCAGAGGATGTTCAGTTCAAATAGAAAAAATATTGCAAGAAACAACGAGCGATCCACAAGATACATGCGTTTTGTTCAACTTTGTGTGACCTTCTGCTTCAAAATTAATCTTTTATTAGTAATATTACCAAACGTGAGTCTAAATCCGTTAATAGCAACGGTAAATTCTTAACAGTATTTGAGCGATTCACAAAAAAAAAAAAAAAGTAAATGGATTTGAGTGCTTCACCTATAGACAAGCTGCAGTTGTTTCTTCTGTAGCATTTGCAAAGCATTCCCATCCAGTCTCTTGAGAGCACCTTAATATTCCAAACGCCCCATGTTATCAGTTCTAGATCACTTGCTGCTAGGGATGAGTCAGTCATGCAAGAAACATCCTGACTGGGGGTCTTCAGAATCAAAATGACTGGTCTGATAATTAAAACGATAGTCTTATTCTTACAAAAAGCTTCTGACAGTTTCATTCAGACAAGTGAGAAGTTTCTGATGCCCTCGGTTGTACCACATCATTCTATCAGCAGGCAACCTCAGCAACTGCATTTTTATAAAGTATCTTTTATTAGTCAACTATAAATATCAATGTTTATAGTCCTGCTGTACACAATCAGTGAAATAGAACAATAGAGTCAAAAAAAAAAAAAAAAAAAA